GTGAGCAAACAGATCCCATCACTCTTTAGAGAAAGCTATTTCAAGACTTGCCCAAGTGCTCAGGCATAAATACACTAGCAGGAGGCCCTTTAGCAAGCATTCAGACAACTTATAGTACTATCTGAACGTGAGCCAGGCCAAACTGCTAGGGCCTGAAGTAAAAGGAAACAGTTTATAGGCTGTGGGACCTCTTACCAATCCATCTTTTTCACTGGGGAGAAAAAATGGGTCTTTTGCAGAGGTGATGAAAACCTGTATTAAAAGGTGACACAGCAGAAAAAAAAAAAGGAGACTAAGCCAATTGGTGGAGTATTTCAAAAACCAAGAAAAAAAACCAACATGATTTTAAAAGTATTTAAGTGGGTAAGGGAGCAAATGAGGAAAAATCATGGTATATTCTATAATTAGCAGTTCCAGGACAAATGACAATGACAGTAGAGAACATTTAGAAAACTCAAAAATTATGTTATCTTTAAGTAAACCTCTGCTTTTTTATAGCTATGTATATGAGAATGTTGATGAACCCTTTAGTATGGTATGAGATGTGATATTTGTAAAATTTTTAAACACAGCCAATTAAGTAGGGCCACAGCTAAAGCCAGTGTTCTTGGTAAGTCTAGGAAGGAGCAGTCCAGCCAAAGCACAGCTTATGAATATGATAATTGTTCTTCTGTACTGTAAATATTAGCCTATAAATGACCGTTTGCATACTCCAACTCTTTTTCTTATCCCACAAGCCCATGGGCACTTGCACATACATGCATACTTCAATATAGATCACGAAGGCTTATTATCATTGCCCATTACAGGTTGAAAAACTAGAATGCATGGTAATACACAGAGAGTACTATGTTAGTCATTTTTTGGAATGTGCCCACATAGGACATATCTTATTCTTTGGTATTAATATAAATGGTGTAAGAGGATTTGCTAGATGGTATGATGAGTGGAAAGAATGGAAATGTGTCACCCAGATCCCCCTATAAGAAGGGACTTATTGCCCTAACTTCTAGTAGACAGTCTCCATCTGTCAGCTCCTTCAGGGTCCGCCAAACTTTCTGTGGGCTGCTTCCTCCTAGACATGTTTTCCTGCCCCCCACCCCATCCCTACCTGATGACTGACTAAGGCAGGTATAAATATCCAGCCATTTCTGCCCAAGACAGAGCAACTCTGAAGGGCTATGTATTCACCAGAGCTCCCCTGAGCTTTTGACTAATGGTTTATTGGACTACTATGGCTGTTCAACTTCTCCCTCTGCCCAACCTTGCCTCTTCTTCTGACATATTCTAATTGTCAAATTCACTCTCAGTTCCTACTTCCAGAGAAACTAACCTGTCAATATGACCATAATAAGAGAGTTTCTAATAAATGTTCTGCGCATGGACCTTATTTTACAGATTAAGCAATTACAGTACAAAGTGAAGAGAACCTGCTTGGAACAAATACTGAATTACATATTAGGTGTCATGGCTGTGATTTTCTAATCACCAAATTAGTCTCTCATTCATCTAATCGTAAGACTTTCCAGGGATATTCGATAAGAATGCCAATTTTGCAAGTTGTAGTTCCATTGGTCAGTGTAAATCTTGGCTGTCCAGTGACATTATCTGTATATCAAAATTAAGCATAAGGTAGCTGATGAACTAAAACAATCGGGCATATTGAATAATTGAGATTCACCATTGAGTTTCCATCTTTTTTAAAAAGATTTCTGTCTTTTACAGTTTCAGTAAAATTATGTAACTAGAGGACATCTTGGAGTTTACGTAGTTCACCCTTTTCAACTGGTATATAAGTAGAACTTGAAACTATGATCTTAGAGTTAAATAGGAAAAGTGGACAAAATGCTTTGACTGGGCCACAAGTAGATAAATCCAAGGACAGCCAATGTATTATGTGGTACTGGGGGTCAGTATGAACCATGAAAAGTTGTAAACAATCAAGGTGTAACCATCTTCATACAAATTAGCTATATTTGTTAACTGGTTATTGATACACATTTACTTCCTTTAATATATAAAATGAGTAATGAAACTATGTGATATATCCTGCCATTTATCTTATTTTCATATGTTTCAAACTTTTAAATTGAGGAAAAAATATCCATTTAGATTATGAATGTTTATTTAGTATCTGCTGCTATGTGCCAGGCAATATTTTAGGCACTGGGGGTATAGTTGCAAGCAAACACACAAACTGTCTGACCTCATGGAGCTTATATTTCTGGTAGGGGAAATAACAATAATTAAGAAAGCAATTAAATAAGTAAATATAATCCATAAGGATATGTTATAATTCAAGTAAGCTTTAAGAATTAAGATGAAGTAGGATAGAAGGATAGTGACAACATAGGCTGCTCTATGTAAGATTGTAAAGTTGAGCTCTGGGAAGTTACCTGTGAACAGAGTGAATAAAGTAAGAAAATGGGTCATGCAAATATCTAGCACACAAGTATTCCAAGCAGAGTGTAAAAGCCCCAAGATGGGAAGGCGAGTGTTGTTGGAGTGCAACAAGGAAGCTGAAGTATGTAGGAAATCAACTCAGTGGGTTCCAGGCGATGGCTTGTGTGTGGACTTAGAAGCCATGGTAGGGATTTTGAATCTTCTCCTAAGTATAATGGCAAGGCATTGGTAGATTGAGGGCAGGGACATTATATAATCTGATTTTTCTTTTTAAAAGGATCACCAACAACTGTGTGGAGGTGCAACTGTAGGGAGCAGCAATAGAAGCAAGTAGTATGGGGACCATTGCTTATTGCAGTAGCTCATTGCTCATTACTATTGCAATGGTACAGACAAATGATTATAGTGGCTTGGTGATAGCCCTGGAGGTGATAAGTTGTTGGATTTGCTAATGATTTGGATGTGGGGTGTGAGAGAAAGAGAACAATCAATAATGTCTCTCAGGGTTTGTTTTGAGCAACTAAGTGGTTGACGTGATATTTACTGAGATAGAGGCCACTATGGCAAGAGATAAAATGGTGCCCATAAGTAAGTACTGACCTATTGCCAATGGCTCATGCACAAGATAATGAAGTTTCCAAATCTTCTCTTATCCAGTTATGGCTCTGCTTTTGGTTCTTAGTCCTTCATCATTCAGTCGGGGTTAAAACAAGCACAAAATCAGAATGTGACATGGCAGAATGCCAAATGAGGAAAAATGATCACTAGAAAGCACAAGATTGTAGGATGATGGGGAGCAAGGCTTGTGGCAGAACATTTGTGTGTGTGTGTGTGTGTGTGTTTCTTCCTGGAATGGTTACAACAAAGCAAAAGAGATGTTCTGCCCCTCTATCGGGAATATAAAAAACACGAGTTCTTTAAAATTCTATAATATCCCCATTTTTTAACTGATATTTTGTTCTAAAACACAATAGGACAGAATTATGCAAATGACCTTTCTGATTGCAATTTTCATTTCTGTTTCTTAAATTATAATGCCTCACTCATGGCTATGCATTTAGTCACAAAATAGACAAATGTCAGTCACTCTCCCAATAATCCTCTTTTCCTTCAGCATTTCCTTGCTGCCTTTGGTCGAGGACTGCTTTCACTGTGACTTCATGCATGTTAGTGAAAAGGAACTTTGGTTGCAGGTATTTGAAAGATTGTGTTTACATTTAAGTTGCCTTTTAAATTTTGGTCATAGTGCTTAAAGTCTGTTTCAAGAAACGCTCATAAGGTCACAGTTATGGTTCCAACTGGATCCCCTGAGAATCTGAAGCCATACTGAACCTCATGCCAAGAGATTAATGTTTGAGATGTGGAAGTTGACTAATTCTACCACCTACCATACCAACCTTCATCCAGCCAGCAACAAATACCTAAAGCATAAAGTCTTTGTTAGTTCTGCTAAGATAAACGTGCATTTGCCTTGGGAAGGTTTTGCCAAAAGCAGAACATGTTAGTGAGAAGCCCTTACCAAATCATCCGATCATCACGCACATTGTCAATGATCATCATTAAGTTGGGGTTGGAGGTAAGGAACATTTGTGGTAAAGTGATACATTTCTTGGGCACAGGGAAGATTTCTAATCTCTTTTCCACATACCTCATAGACTCTTGTGTCTTGAGATTTTTTAATATACATGTTCAGAGACTAGTAGTGATAATAATAAAGCTAAACTTAATTGATGTCCTGCAGGAATATGTAGCTCCAACTAACTCTTACAAGGTGGCAACCAACCTCTAGAGAAAACTCCAATCCTTAATTATCATGATATAGCTACCTTGTGATTTATCTCTGAAGACATTTCAATGGGCATTGAATTTTCAATATAGGTCAATTAATGTCATGTTAATTGCTGTTATTATGTTGCCCCAATTGACCTATTTCATATTTGCAGGACTCCAGTGAGAAGGAGGAAAAGACAACCGAATAAACCATTCCTTTTAAGCTGCTGAAATGTCCCATCTTTCTGGAATTGCATTCAGAGTAAGGATTGTGCATGAAAGAGCTTCAGGAAGTTACAAAACTCCTTTACATGGGCTGTTGGATCTGTGTACAATTTCCAGCATTACCCAGAATAAATACCAGGAGACTGGTGTGGTTTATACAAGAGTTTATAGAGAAAAAAAATCCACCCACTAGCTCCCATGCTGAGGATTACAACCAGGTCCCTGCTGCCAAGTTTTGTGTTTAGGTAAAGCATGAGAAAATCTGCCATTTTTTTAAAGTCACAAAAGAGTTTCTATAGTAAGGAGTGGTAAGAAGCTGACAGCTTTTTATGCATATAAGGCAGCTGTTCCTTCTCAGGTAATATTATTAATAAACCCTAAGGTAATGTTTGCTCTGAAATATGTCTAATTGAAATAGTTTACTCTGACCCTTGGAGAATTATGAAACTGTTTTCATCATGTTCACACACAGCAAAATAATTATGAGATGCCATATGGAAAAGCCATCATGTGGTAGATGTCTTTCTGAATCTATATTTTTGAAAGATTTCCCACAGATAAATCATATAGCTAATTTACAAAGGTAGAGGTGAACAGCCCCTTTTCCACGTGGAGATTTGATGTGAAATGTTTGCAGTTCCAGAATATTAACAGGGGTGTTGACATCAGTAATTACTACAGTTAGGAGACATTTTTCACAAAGTATTATGAGAGCAATACTTGGTCATACAGGGAGAAAAAAGCGTGTGGGACTTTATACACAGCATTTGAAATATCCAGGAACCTTTAGACTCGGAGAACTGTGGGCATATTGGTGGCTGAGGTACTTTTTGCCTGTAGCATAAAATCTGCCTGGGAAGTTCCAGCAGTTTCCACTGAGATAGCACATTTGGCAAGATGAGGCTGAGCGTGGTATGTAAGGACTTTCGGGAAAACTTGTCAGCTTTCACAGGGAAAGGTCCAAGTGTTTATGGGAACTATGAAGTGGTGTTGGGTAGCTCTCAAAGGGATTTGTGGGGTCATTTGGGACAGGGATTTGAAAGCTTTGTGATTGAAGCTCTTCTGAACTTATCAAAATGGTTAAAAGTCTGGCTGTGAGTCTCATGAGAGCAGACTTTCTTGTGAAATTTCTGGTATGGTGCTTTCCTGCTGGGGTGAGAAAATCTTAGTAGGACAGACTTTCTCGCCGTATTTTAATTCTTGAGATCCATGTCCCTGTTAAACCCAGGAAATGGAGCGTCACAGGAAACTGAGCTTTACTTTAAAACTCTGGTAAGTTAAGATTCAGATTTCTCTAGAGTTTCAATTGTTTAAATTGACTTGTCCAATTTCCTGAGCATACCCCTACCACCCCCCTCACACCCCACCAAAAAAGTGGGGTGCAAGAAAGAAAAAGCATGTAAAAGATTTTTTTTTAAGTGTCATTCAATTTTCCATAACATTGCCATTTGTCCAGATTTCTATTAAAGAAAAAAATGAAACACTGGTAAGTGAAGTATAGCCTGTTAACCCTGTGCGTTTCCTACCAGGCGCGGTCTCAGCAGCCTCTTTGACCCTCAGCACTGTCGGTTAGCAGAGGGATCTCCATTTCCAGTACCCGTGTTTGGATTTCAGAGCACTTGGTCACAGCTGAAACAAATGAGCCTTTTCTTCTCACAACAGCTCTTTTGAGGCAGACACTGGGATGCAGATTGTGAGGCTGGCCAGGCAGTGTCATCCTCACAATTAGCTAATATTTGGCACGTTGAGATCCCAGTTCCGTCCCCTTGGGTCCTTGCGGGAGCCTCCCATTTGTTGACAGCCTCATCTCACTTCAATTATCAGCGTTCAACTACCCTAGAACTTTCAAAGGAAAAACAAATTTATATAAAAACTCACGTATGTATATATGACTTACAAATATTATAAAGCTTTTAGGGAAATGCATGAAAGACACTTTTTCACTTCTTCAAATCGGTAGTTCTACCTTCAACAACAGAACGCGGGATTAAAAAAAAAAAAGAGTGAAATGCAAAACTGGAAACCTGACAAAACAATGAAACTGCTGTTGTTTTCTAATATATTTTAGGTCAGATTCTCGTACTTCCCATTTTTAAACAACTGCCAAGCATTTGTTTTTATATCTCCAAGACATCTGTGTTATTGGTGAGCACTATTTCTAGCTATCGACTGTCCTAAAATAAAGGTAACATTTCTGTGTGATTTATAGTCTATCATTATTATGGTGCAGCCTCTGAATGCATGAACTGGAGATTTACTGCACACTTGTGCCTTATCCCCGCCTCATGTAATAGAGGAAAGGTAAAATGTCTTGGCTTGGTGAGGGCTCCCTTCTTCAAGCAGCTGTCTTTTTTGGTGTGGCGCTTGCAGCTTGATTAAACTCCATCGAGAAGGTCAGTGACCAAAGTTTGCCTTTAACAGTTTCCCATAACATGTATTCCTCATAGGGAGCAATGCTCAGCGCAGGTTATTTCCAGTAATATTCTCAAACCAAAAGAATGGTCTTTGCAGTAAACCAACACATTCCCACTTTCTTTCCTTTATCTCACACGTAAGTGATGACAGTATTTATATTTCATCTGCAGACTGGGCCAAAAACAACTGGGTTAAGGCTGTCTCTTTTTCATAAGTGTATTATACTCTTTTTTTGACCTTTCAAGACATGGGAATCTTCGGTTTCATAAGACCTCTCAGGAAGGGAATTCCCCACCCCCATGCCTCTCTGTTTCTCATCACTTTTCCCCCTCCACAGCCAGCTGTCCGTGGGAATAATGCACTCAGTAAACACACACACACACACACACATACACACCAATCTCAAACGTATTTACTGGAAATTTAGAGTATATAGCAGAAGTATAAAGAAAAGCTTTGCTATGAGATTGGATTTCCACCTTATGTCACATGCCACAAATGTTTTTTGAAGACACGATCACTAAAATTAGCTAAGTTGCAAGAAAACATAGTAGCTAACCCTAAATGGGTGAAACTTCAGAAATGACATTTTGACACCTAATTTGTTTTTCTAAAATAGAGCAGTGATATTTCCATGTTTTCTTACCCACTCTTATTTAATGATAGTTCCTGATTTTGGATTATGTTTTATATGTGTATGGCTGATGATTATTTAGGAGGAGAAATATGAGAATATCACTAAATTGACAAAGCTCAAACCTAACGAGTACTTCTTTTACTTCCTTCAGTTGGGTACCACAGTGCTAACAAATTTTTATTTTAGATTCCATAATTTCTTTCTGGGGTCAATCGGACCACTTATTTTTCCTCCTTTTTTTCCATCTGATGAAATTTATTTGAGACCAAGGCAGCAAATGGATTATGTCCTAAAAGAGAATGTTGACTCAGGGCAATTTCTCAAGGTGTCGGTAAGTGCAACTGGCCTTTGGGTAACTCAACTTCCCATTACTCTCAGAGTGTTAAAGCAAGTACCTGAATATTGCCTCAAGGTTTCCCTGTTTAGAGCCTCACTTACTTTTGTCATCTCAGAATAAGGTACAATGCTCTTTAGTAAACTGAAACAGTCAGTCAAATCAATTTGTTCTATGGGAGTATAGTTTAAATGAATATATTCCTAGAAACTCTATTTCCCCCCACTGTGGGTTAAGAACCACAAAAAGAGCTAGAATCTGACCACTCAGACGTTAACAGCAAGTGAAAAAGAGGGCTTAGAACTAAAGGATGATGTTTGGGAGGTTAGGTCTTTCCACGGATCTCTAGATTCCAGCAAGCATCTGCCACTTAAAGAAATCCATTTAGCAATCCTACAGGGATCTCACGATGAACCCATCAAAAGTGGAATGTTTAATTCTTACCTCCCAGTTATCTCTCCACCTATCGAGTGCATCTTAATAAATGATGCCATTACTAATGCAGTTGCTCAAAACAGAAACCAAGCATACTCCTTGATGCCTCCTTTCCTCAACACCTACAATGTATATAATAGCACGTCTTCTATTCTGTCCGAATCTCTTGATCCCTACCGCTAGCACCCTAGTACCCTAATTTAAACCACCACCATCTTTCACCTGAACTACTGAGATTGCTTCAGTCAGGGTCAAATGAGGAAAACAGTCAAGTAGTTGGTAGTTGGACATTAGGAGTATAAAATCTATTATAAAGTTATTAGAAAGCTGAAAAGCCAAACAAGGATGGAATACCAGCCCCAACCTTAGCTATACCAGCAAAGCGCTTCCATCCTAGGACTGGAGGGCAAAGGAAGGAGGTGCTATTAAAAGAGCTGAGGGGCCCTGGTCACCAGGAGATGAAATCACAGTGGGAGGGGCTATTTAGAGCCCTGATTAGAATTAGAACCAAGAAATAATGGGAGGGTTGGTGTGGTGGGCTTGATTTAGCCCTTCCCTGGGCCCCAAACTCATATCATAGCATCCCATTTACCCTACCTAGCTAGAGGGAAGTTGACAAAAGCAGCCTTGAAGATGTTGCTTGCAAAAAGCCAATTCCTAAAGAGCAGAGTATAAGGGTGGGGAGTGAATCTGTGAGCAAAAGTGCAAATACGTGTCAGAGTCTCACCTCTTTTGCTATGCAACATGTATTCTCCCCAACCATATATAATTTCTCCTCACACAACAACTTCATGCTTCCACCTAATATAATACAATCCAAATACACATGGAAATGCTCCCACACCTCCCCACAAAAGGGGCACATGAAATCGCATTATTCACTCTTCACTCTTGAAGTTGAAGGTCTCCAGATGACGAAATGCTTTCTTCATCAGGTCTGGATGTGTGTGGTTCTTCAAAGTATGGCGACTTCTGAATTAAAATGCAAGTTTAAAGCATCACCAACACTCTTCATATAGATAGTAAAAAAAATAAATCCTCTTTCAGAAAGGATAAATATGAATAATTTGTTAATATATACATAACAAAAATGAACAGAGCTGGCATAGCCCTTATTTCTGTCTCCAATCATAAGAATGATTCCTTCATCCACCCTTGTATGTTCCTCTTGCCCTCAACCGGAATCTCAGTTGATCAGGCTTCTGTATCTTGTTGTTGACCCAAGACTTCTTTTCCAGAGTCTGAACACTTAGTGGTTCTGACTTTATTGGGTAATTGTGGATTTTACAACTGGGCCTGGAATTATTAAGGTAGGAAGTGTATCCCAGTGAATTCCATCATGTTTCAGCAAACTGATGCCTTGGTGGTAAGCAGGATCAATATCCCCATCCCTTTTCTTTGGCTGATGATTAGTGGCAGGAGAAACCCAAGTTATCCAGGTATTGCTGTCAACTTATAATTCAATGGGACAATTATTGTGTCATTAATGAAAGTAGTTCTCTTTTAGAAACTAAGACCTCTAAACTTGCATAATGTGAAGTTATAGGGACAGAAGCAAAAATGATGCAAGTATAGATAATTTGGTGTAATAATGAAAACAATAATGTCTACTTGTACTTCTTTGTTCCCAAACTCTAACGTACTGGTCGTGGGAGAAACAGCACCTAATACTGGCCCCTTGTTCAAAGTACCCAACACTACCAGGATGTGATTTCCCATATGACATCACAAGTGAATCATCAGTAAGCCATTCACTATTTTATGAGGTCAGTTTCCTTTGGGCATTGCAAAACAAATGACTTTCATGGTTGTAAACCCGCCAATGTACTTTTAGTTGTAAAAGGCACTCCAATGTGTTGTGCAATTCTATGATTATTAACAAGGGATTTCTATAAGTTCGTGGATGATAGTACTGGCAGATGTATAGAAAATCCATATACAGAATAGGTATGTGTTCTAGAGGGGATAGATGCCCTTCAAAATTGGAGAAGTTCACTATCTTCAATCTGCTATCAGAGAGTTGTTGATCTCTTTGGGAGCGATGCTATGTCAGGTGTTAAGCATTGACCATTGGTATGTTGTGGGGATAAAGTAGAAGTAAAATCTCTGCCACTGAGCCCTCACGAAGCCTTTATTTCTGGCATGATGGTACCTTTGTACATGGACCCATTGAATAAGCACTGTAGTGTCTAGGGAAGGATGTTGTGTGATATCCATTGTATGAATTATTTTAACCCTCTGATATGAGAATGTCTTCAACAGTGGATGTCTTTCACTGAGCACTTCACATGGGATAAAAACACCCTCATGCTTTGTGTCTGTCCATACTTGGTACCTCCATCTAATTTTGCCTTAGACAGTTCACACCAGTTTTCAAGTGCTGTGCTTCTAATTCCTGGCCAGCTAGCCTAATGACCAGTGACTCCCTATGAATCACTCTATTCCTCAGGC